TTGGGATTGTCAAGGCATCCAACCCCATCGAGATCCCAGTTATCGGGAAGAGGATATTGGAGATGGCCAACAATAGCAGACGCCTCCAAATTCTTGATCTTTCCAGAGTTAACCCGACGCATAAGCCGACACATATTCCTCCCTAGCTGCCATGGCTTACAGGCAGTACTCACATCCGAATCGGAGTCTAGGGGTTTCGGATCATCTCCGCCCGCTGGCTTCCCTTCTCTGCGCTCCCTTCCAGTCGGCTCTCGACCACTGCGCTCGGATGCTTTCTCATTCATCTCGTCCACTTTCAAAGCCAACCTCTCTAACGTCCTCTCGATGAGCGAGAGTCGCCTGGCTAGGACATCGGCTGAGTCCCCGCGGGTACCACCACTCGTATTACTGATAGTTAAGGGCTCCGCCGAGCCAGATACACCGCCAGCATGGAACCCATGCTGCGAATCGATTGTCTGTCCACCGCCGCCACTGTAAGCCATGAGGCCAAGGCCTCTTCCCGTCGACAATCGAGAAGTATCACCTGGTATAATTTGCCCTTCGGAGTCACTAGCCGCACAGCCCCCATTATGTGGACGGGAATTTAATGGGCCCCGACCAATTCGCCCCTCTATATCGGCAATCGCCCCTTGCACGTTCTGCCTCGAACTCGTAGATTCCACGGCAGTAACTTCACTTGTTAATTCGGCATTTAAGGGTATCGTAGTATTAGCGGCAATATTATAAGTATCATCAGCGGTATCATCAGCGGTATCATCAACGGTATCATCAGCGGTATCATCAACGGTATCATCAACGGTATCATCAGCGGTCTCATTAACTGGTATCGTAGGGCTTCCGGTCGCGCCTCTCCTACCACTTCCCGCAGAACGCAAGGCTGCTCTGACTCTGGGTGGCATAAGGGGAACAGACAGAAAAGATTGGACACTAACGTCTCAATAGTTGGGGTATATCGAGAGTGCGTGAGATTGCAAGAAATCTACTTTACGTTCACCCGGTGAACTTCACCGCACTCCCACAAAGGCGCCATCTTGAATCTAACGGGTTGTTCAATGAACCGTTTCGGAGTCATAAGAACGCTTCTAGGACCGTGGCTAGAAATGTTTGTAAGACGCTAAGCAAGTTACTGGATGTCTAATCTATTCACAACACCTTCGTGGGAGTAGAAACGCGTGCATGAGAATTTTGTGGCGCATGAGAGAGTTTCGTGGCGCGTGGTATTGCTTCAATAAATCCACAAGTCAGCAATTCAACAACTGATATGCTGAATAATGAATATCATCAGCGTAGTAATGCCGACATCTGGGAACCATAGCGCTATAATTACTATAAAGTTTATCGATAATGAAAGAGAGTGACAACCTGAAGCTGTTCAACCGTCAAAAATCATCATTTGAGTACTATTGGCATACCCCCTCAAACTCTTCGCCAGGAAAAACTACTAGAAGAGGTGATTCATTCAACTTGTTTGGTGTTAATCCCATATCGAGGAGTGAACTCTAACCATGGAGTGCTCTCACCATAACCAGCGTACGAGAGATAATATCATAACCAACAAACGGACATTTATCGTCTCGTGAGACATTAAAGAGGGCCCTGGACAACCTTGCATTCGACCGTCCTAGTAGAACATAGATATATCATTCAACATCACTAACTACTGAGCAGTGCTCTGACTGGACGATTCTTGCGTTCGTGTGAAAACTATGAATCATACTTCTGATCGTCCTAATCTACGCAGTGTGGGTGGTTGAATCAACCCTTGCCCTTATGACAGAGTTAGTCGAGGATGTAGTTTTGGAGAAGTCTGCAGGGGATTCTAGTGGTGCTGGACAATTGGACGAGGCTCATGCATGGGAGGCTGATTACACTAAGAGTTGGATCAACATCACCAAAGACCAGTATTGTACACGGGATATAAATACGGTATAGAGTGATGTGTGTTTAGGCACGGCAAACTGGTAGTGCGAGACGAAGCCTCCATTGCTCGGAAGTAAGGCATTTTATCCACCCATATTTCATAGTACATCGCCTGACCAGATACCCGCGGAACTACGATGGTGTCCTGCCAGTCTCAGCTGGTGAGGATGGCGAACTAGTCCATAAGCAGTCAATGGCTTTGAAGAGAGGCTTACTACGGTTCCTGTACTTGGTAGTGGATATGAGCTCTGCTATGCAGAATATGGATTACAAACAGAATAGGTTATATTAAGGGGGATCACGCCGAAGTCATTCTCTGATGATCTCAGGTTAGATTTCGTAGTATCGCATCTTTGTCGTAATTTCATCCCCCAATACTTCGACCTCAACCCTATCAGTAACCTGTCCGTCCTTGCATTACGAGACCAGAGGGCTCACTTCGTCACGCGTAACCATTTCCGCTCAACCATATACTATACTACTCAAGCATGCAGGTATGTCGGGCCAACCGGCCTCCCAAATGGAGCGAGTCCTCCAGTTCTCCACTGGTGGGGCCTCAGGCTCAGCATCCCTCGTCAATGCACTTGAAGCAGTGGGTCAGGCTGCTAAAGGGAGTCTACCTCGTTATGGTGATATATAGGGGAGAGAGTATGGGTGGATTACGATCCTTATCAGGCACACGTG